TCCAATAGAAGGTGCAGCCGGCACCCACCTCCCCCAGTAGAACTTGCTCGGTGATATGGGTCTCACTGACTGCAGCGATGTCCACCATGTAGCACGCCAATTCCCGATCGACAGGCGCCGTTCTTCGTTCCGGCCGGTTGAACCTGGGATTATCCTAAAGTGAATGAATATATCAGACGGCCAGTGTGAACGCACTTACCCTAGCAGCCTGTGAGGGGGGCTGAAGGGGTGAAGGATGAAAAAAGAGAGAGAGAGACGGAGAGGGAGACTGTATTGTGTCTTGTGTTTTGGTTTGGACCGCATGTTTAACAGTCTGCAAGTCACGGTCTGCGGAAAAGTAAGGGGCAGGTCCTTCAGCCACTGGGTCAGTAGCTGCTTGAGTGTTGAAATGGAAATGTGACCAGGCAAATACAACCAAGCGACATTTAGCCTATCTGGGGGGAGAGGGAAGGGGGTCGCCTCTCTTGTGGACTCCTGCGGGGTTGCAGACGAAGCCATATTCTTGGGAAGATGCGGCGGTGACCCATACGGCCATTGGTGGTGGAGGTGGCACTGACTCCGTGCAGCAGCTGCTGCATATACTATGGGTGTGGATTCGTGAAAACGAACGGCGAAATCCGATCTAGTCCCTGTGTCGATCGGTCGAACCAACCAGGTGGCCCGATATAGGGGACAAACATACGAACATTCGAAAGTCGTAACCGATGGTGTCCACCGCATACCCCACAGCAGGCTGGGAGCAGGCACGCTGACTTGTGCACAAATACCTTTATAGTGGCAGAAGACATGCTCTGCATCTACCGCACGCGCTCCTCCTTCGCCTCCTACTCGTCTTCTTCCTTCCTTCCTTCCCCTTCTTCCTTCATCCGTCCCACTCGGCTCTGATCCCATTAGATGGGATTGCCATAAATGCAACACTAAGGGATAGGCACAGCAGCTTGACTGTAAGTCCGTCATTACCCATAAACACGCACACACACACACACACACACACACACACACACACACACACACACACACACACACACACACACACACGACAGTTCGACCGTCGATTTCGACGATGTCCACCGTATGCCCCACAGCTGCAGCAGCAGTGGGAGCAGGGACGGTGACTTGCGCAGGGGTTTATAGGGCCAGTAGACTTGCGTAGCATCTACCTACACTCTCTCCTCCTCCCCCGCCTGGGCCCGCTGTCAAGACAGAGTCAAGAAGACCGGAGACGGGGGAGGCCGCAGGTGGATGGCTCGGACGGATCCTCACCTTGGCGTTCCACCACACCCCCTGGTCCACACAACAATAACCAGGATTTCAACCAACACAACAAGGATTTGGAGGCTGGAACGGCCGAAGCCGCACCTGGGCGTGCCGCCAACGCCTGGCTCGGATCCCACACTGTGGTGGGAATGCCATAAAGGCCACATTAAAAAGGAGCCATTGCAGCCTGACTCTCAGACCGCCTCCA